CCTCTCTACCTCCAAGAAAAAGGCAAAGCCTCCTATTGCTTTTAGGATAAAGACCAACGTCCTTACCACAGCCTGTAAGTCCCCAAATGGTCTGACTGCTGTCCACCTCTGATGTCCCACCATTCCCCTCCTTCCCCTCCCTGCCCCAGGCACACAGTCAGTCAGACCTCTCCTGCCTCATGGCCTTTGCAGATGCTGTTTCCTCTGTGTGGAGCACGTCTTCCCATTCCTGTCCCTGCATTTATCTGGAGACTTCCTGTTCATTTCTCAGGTCTCAGCTCAAGCCTCACCTCCTGAAGGAAAACTTCCCTGACATGAGACAAGATCAGGCCCTCCTCTTTCTGCTCCTATATAGCTCTCTGTGCTTTCCCTTCATATCATATTTTGCAAGTGGATTTTTACCTATGTTTTGTGATTAGCTGCTCAATGTCTCCTCCTCACCCCAGCTAGACTGTAAGCGCCACAAGGGCGGGGTGCCTGACTAGTTTGCTGTCTGTTGTACCCCTCAGTCTAACCATAAGACACAGTAGGTGTTCAGAAGGGTTAGGAGGATTAACTGCTGCTGAATGAAGTCACTCAAAAATGAGGAGAGCAGGAATAGAAGGTGAGTATGGGCTCCTGCCACTTTTCCTGTGGGTGTATGTTTGCACGACAGCCTAAGTGGGTAGGCGTGTGGGAGTGATAACACAGTGGATGGGAGACAGACTATAATGGGAAAGCATGAATTTCGGAGTCAGCAGACCTGAACTTGGCTAGTTACCTCACCTCCCTAAGTCTATATTTTTAAAAAGTGGAGAGAATGTACACCTCCTGAGGTTCTCATGAAAGTTTAATTACTTCATATGTGACAAGTGGCAGGTGTATAACAGATATCAGGCAAAGGACAGCTCCTTTGGCCCTGTCCCCCTGCTTTCATTCACTTGGCTTCCTGGGCAAACATTTGTGACTGGAACAGCAGTGCCAGAATTAGGCAGGCACCAAGGTGGCCACTGTGGATATTTGAGTGGGTCGGTGGGGTTGGAGGCAGAAAGGCCACATGCACTTCTGTCCAACACTCACCTTTAGGATCTTGATCTGGGTGGGGTCGGTGGACCTGATGTAGAAGCTCTTCAGGTACGGCTCGAACATGCCCTGGCACAAGAGAGGCAGCCCCAGGGAGGTCCACCACAGCCCTAGACCTGCTTCTCCTCCAGGGCACCCCGCTCCTCTCCTGCCCCAGGGCCCAGTACACTTCTGCCCCTAACTGCCCTCCACTCCTCCATTCTTCCCTCCTCCTCACACCTGACCCGGTCTTCCTTCACCGGGCTTTCCTCCCTCAGCGGCCCAGGGATCCACGCTCTGCTTCTCCAATTGCTTTTGGGGCCTCCCTTCCCCATGCTCTGCACAGCTAAAGCACTCCCCCTTTCTGCCTCCGCCCACCCCCGTGCCCTCAGCCTCGCAGGAGCCAGTCCCCGGACTGCCAGGCCAGACCTTGGTCACTCGCTCACCCGGCGCTTGATGGACATGGTGGCCACGTTCTGGAGCACCACGTACTGCACCTCACTGTGGAGAGGAGGGGTCAGAGGTACCTGGGCCCCTCGGCTGGGGTGAGGGGCAGCAGGTGGAGAGAAGGGAGGAGAGCCAAAATAGGAGGGAGGAGAGGAGACAGTGTGGGGAGGTCTCCGGTGGCAGGAGGGCAGGGGCTGGGGTCAGGTGCGGGAGCGTGGGTGGGCTACGGGG